AGAGTTACTGTTAAACCCAGCGTTCCTGTTAAACCCAGCATTCCTGTTAAACCCAGAGTTACTGTTAAACCCAGAGTTACTGTTAAACCCAGAGTTACTGATAAACTCAGAGTTACTGTTAAACCCAGCGTTCCTGTTAAACCCAGCATTCCTGTTAAACCCAGAGTTACTGTTAAACCCAGAGCTACTGATAAACTCAGAATTACTGTTAAACCCAGAGTTACCGGTGTCGGGGTGGCAGGTGTCGCTGTGACCGTGGCAGTTGCACGGCTCACAGGAGCTGAAGGCTCCGAGCTGAGGTTGGGCGCGGCGGTATCCTGGAGTGCACTGCTCACAGTGCTGACCCAGGTAACCCTGAGGACAGGTGCACTGCTCCACCCAACGGGCCGGAACACCTGGGCCCCGCCTCGCCGTCACCAAGGAGACGTCGTCCAGGTAACCAGCACCTGCAGACAGAAGACAGGATGGGACAGAGACAGGTAAGTTCCACAGGTGAGTCTGTTTGTATTTGCACAAGTGTATTACATGTACTGTGTAGTTGTACATGTGTACTGTGTGTACCTGTGTGTATTTGTACATGTGTATTATATGTACTGTGTATTTGTACAAATGTACTGTGCTTATATGTGTGTATTTGTACATGTGTACTAAGTTTATTTGTACGTGTGTACTGTGTATCTGTATGTGTGTACTGTGTGTATTTCTATGCGTGTACTGTGTGTATCTGTGTATTTGTACATGTGTACTAAGTTTATTTGTACATATGTACTGTGTATCTGTGTATTTGTATGTGTGTACTGTGTATTTGCGTGTGTTTGTACATATGTACATGTGTACTGTGTGTATTCGTACATGTGTACTGTGTGTATTTGTGTATTTATACATGTGTACTAAGTGTATTTGTACATATGTACTGTGTGTATCTGTGTATTTGTATGTGTGTACTGTGTATTTGCGTGTGTTTGTACATGTGCACTGTGTGTATTTGTACATGTGTACTGTGTGTATTTGTACATGTGTACTGTGTGTATTTGTACATGTGTACTCTGTGTATTTGTGTATTTATAAATACATACTTCTCTCGCTGTAGGTACCACGGATCTTGATGGCGGTCAGATTATGGAGAAGTTTCTGGAAGTCTAAGTGGCCGAGCCGAGGCTTCCAGCTGTTGTCCTGAGTGTCATGGAGCCTGAACCAGAACCAGAACCAGATTAGGATTCTTATCAGACACAGGAATAATCTAATCCAGATTAACACAAATCTAAGCAGGACAATGAGATTATAATTTCAGATTGAATCCAGATTAATCCTTCAGAGTTTAAACCAGGTCTGAACAGAACTGAACCAGAACCCTGACCTGAACACGTAGGTCTGCATGTTGTCGTTGGGATAGCCGTTGCCCTGAGCGATGAGGGGGACGGATGTCCGTAGCTCCGCCCCCTCCAGGATCAGGTCCTCGGCCGACAGCCGGATGTCCCGCCTCTCCACCCGGAAGTTTAAACTCAGGTTCTGTCCGTAACTCAACATCTGGTTCCCCAGGAACTTCCCTGGGACACAGAACGGGTCAGACTGACTCAGCAGAACCGTCGAAGGTTTCTGATGAAACTCTTCAGACAGGTGTGTTCAGACAGGTGTGTTCAGACAGGTGTGTGTACCTGGAGCGATGAAGTAAATGGGGAAGTAGTCATCAGAAAGGAGGGACACTTCCTGTCCACTGGGGGACCACTGGACGGAGACGCTGGAGCCGTCTCTCCTCTGACCGCTCCAGTGCTCGTCACCTGAACACAGAAACCCACCTTGAGTTTCCAGGCCTCAGACCGAGGGTTATTTGTGCCCTGAGTCCTGCCTGCAGGCGGCGTTACCTCTGTGGAAGGAGGAGCTGATGGTGTGCACGCTGTAGCCCTCGATGCTGTCGCACACAGACGAGTGCTGGAAGCAGAAGCAGGGCAGGCAGCCCTGAGGGTTGTTTGGATCCAGGTTAAAGAAGCCAAGTTTGCACCTGAGGAGCAGAAAGCTTGATGAGCGACAGCTCGTTATCAGACAGGAAGTCAGCGTCATGCGATGGGCAGGTCACCTGTCACAGCTGAAGCCCTCCACGTTCTCTTTGCAGCGACACTGCCCCGTGTTGACGTCACACTCCTGAGTGCTGCCTGAAGGAGAGCAGGAGCACGGCCTGCCAGACAAGCAGAGGGGAGAAATAACCCATCACTTCAACACATAATTGTTCTTATTATTTACATATGGCTTTTAAATATAAACCAACAGAACCAAACAACAGGGACAGACCGGTTCTGGTACCAAGGACACAATGACTGAGACGGATGGAAGGAGGGATTGAACCGACAACCCACCGGTTACAGGAGGACTCCTCGAAGCACTCAACCTGGAGTTAAAGTGCAGCTGCAGCCAGCAGGGGGCGCTCTGACACCAGCCGAAGTCTACACAACAGTTTCTGTGCAGCTCAGAAGACTGGGAGCACCTGGTTCTGGACCGGGACAACATCAGGCACCCCGGGTCTCTGTGGTCCTAGTTCTGCTGGTCTGGTTCTGCTGGTCTCTGTGGTTCTGTTAGACTAAGTGACGGTTCTTGATGTGGTTCTGTTTATGGAATCTGAGCTCATTCAGATCTTTTTATAAAACTCCACGTGATGTTCTGGAAGGTTCTGGAGCCTGAAATCCAGGAACCAAGAGAAGGAACCAAAACATTTTGGCTTCAGCTGATCTGGGTCAGTTGGTGTGGTTGTGTTCCTGCAGCCGGCCTTCATCAGACCCTTAGCTGGTCTTAGATTAGTTTCAGCTGATATGAGATTAGTTTCAGCTGATATGAGATTAGTTTCAGCTTCAGTTTGTGCGGCTGGCCGCCGGCGTGCTGGGGTGTGTGCCGGCCTGGCCTGGTGACTGCCTGTTGGGGTTCGGGGCCTCTGGGCCTGTCGGGCTTTGGCCTGGAGGGGGTGCGCCCTGGGGGCCCGGACTGCTGTGCCCTTTCCTGGATCTGCTTTGGTATGGTGGGTGCCGGTGGGGCCTATGAGTTTGTCGT